CAGTACTATAAGCTCTGGGAGAAACAGCCTCTGCCCTCTAGGGTTTTTTTTGCGATCTTTTCTTCTTCTTTTTCCTTGCATTTCCAGACAACATACTTATTGGAGGAGGCAGTGGGTCTATTCTTATTTTCCAGCCTGGGAACTCACATGCGAATTGCTAATGTTAAAAAAGTATAGTCAAAATGTAGAAAAACAAAATTTAGATATAACTGGGGTATATACTTGCATGCTGATGTCCATGAAATAAAACAAAATCATACACACCTGTAAAGTCAAAAAATACTACAGAATAATAAACCCTGAACAAATAAATCTGACATAAAATCATACCATGCTTACACATAAAGTGAAAAAATACAAACATCACCAAATTGTTCTTAAAAAAAATGCAAACATGTTGACATGCATACATTCTTGTGAGGTTAGAAAACATGAACAAACTGCTCTAAGATAAAACATTAGAATGATTAAATGCAGACGTTTATGAAGTGATACGTTATAAGACGTTTACAAAATAAAGCCATAAATCATGATAATAACAAAGCATTCTGAGCTTAAGCCAGAAATTTACATCTTTACTTACTTGCATTCAATGCTTTTTAGAAAACAACTGAAACAAAATGGATACTTTGCAATTAAGCCAGAAAGTTTTATTAAGATTTTAATGAAAAGCATTAGCAGTCTTTCTTATGTCGGCGTAAATAACAATAATCTTTTACACAAACATCAATGGCCACCATCTACTGAGAATATGCAGCAGAATGAGTATAACAATATAAGATAATGTCCAAATGTTACTGGGTTTCACAAGGAAAAACCAAATCTAGCCAATCATGAAATTTCAACAATTTGCTTGGCATGAGCTTGTTGAGTAATAAACTATAAACATTCATTAACTGGTACCTGCACAGAATACAGGGAATTAAATGATTTAATGGAATCACTAATGTAGATCGTTGGGAGAAAACTAAACAAGTTCCAGTGGTCAAAGAAGTGAAGAAAAGACACTGGCAGCGGATAGTACACACACTGAAATAAACTGAGTACACATATACATAGAATGTCTGCACAGGAACCCATTGGGGCATAGAAATAAAGAAAGAAAAACAAAAAGGGAGAAGGGAGCTAGAGAATGAATTTAAAAAGATGGGGGAAGGTGCATGCAACAGTGAAGGACAGGACTTGGTGTGAGTTGGTTGAGGGCCTATGCTCCATTGGAGGTAGAAGACAGAAGGAGAAGAATTAATTAAGAATCTTCTTCTTCATGTTCACTGGCTGTAAACTCCAGCGAAAAGTTCTGGTTGTTCATCTACCTCTGGACTTAAAAGTCTTGTTTCAAAACCTGAGTGTTGCATGCACATCTGTTTAACATATCTGACTTTTTTTTAATGCAGACTGCTGGTTCCTTGCCTCTCAGGCAGATGCACTCTGACTTTGAAAGAAGCCCCCTAAGTAGTCCTCTTTCAACATGCTTTTTGGGGAGGCAGTGGGTCTATTCTTGTTTCCCCTATAAAGGGGCAGTCGAACCCACACATGGAGACTTCTGGATCAAGTTTGTGTTATTGTTCCAACTATGCCATATAGCCAAGCCACCCAGGGATTTATCTCTTTGATTTCCATTGCTCTTTTTTCAAGATTATTTTTGCTCATAAGTACAACAGCAACAAAACTGTCCCTACATTTAATACTTCAGTCAATTTATGGTTTTAACATGTTTCTTAACAGACTTCCTAATTTATTTATCTACTCACACTTACTAATATTTGTGTTTTATGTAGAAACAACTTCTCCGCAGAAATTAGAAGTAAGTAGTGATTTTTTAAAATGCTAACTGTGAAATATTAATCACATTCTGAAGCTTCTGCATTTTTTTCTTTCAGGATTACAATGAACCCAGATTTGCATAAGTCAGGTGTAATAGCTCAGTATCATATATTATGTTCAAAAAACCTACAAAATCTATTGCATATTCTACTAAGGCATTTATAATTCAAGATGTGATGTCTCCTGGACCTGAAGTTTTGCAAGATTTCATATGGCTGAGGATAGTTGAAAGCTCCATTTTCACAACTAGTCGCCTTTCATTTGTTACTGGGGATATCAAAGTGCTCTTCAACTAAATTGTTTAACAAGTCAATAACATACTCTGATAATTTATCCATATCTGACCCTTGACCATTATGATTTTATCTTCTTTGGTATTCAACATTTAAATTCCCCAAGATAAAATATATTTCCACAAGCTATCCCTTTCAATGAAATGCTTCAAAGAACATAGATTAAAATAAAAGACTTACATTAACAGTATTTATTAAAAAAAAAAAAAAGCATATGGCAAACTGACTAGAAAATGATGTAAACAATTTTGTGTGTCAAATGTCAGGTAAAATATTCACGTTTAAAAAAAAACAAAAAACTAAGAAGCAAATATTATGAATGATCATAGAAGTGATGCAAATTTCGATTAGAAATAAAAGCTTTTTCAATCATATATTTCTCTAAAACAATTCAATCAGTACATAAATAATTACTGTAAGTCTTCTCCCTCATACCACTCTTCAGCTGTAAACTCAAGTGGGAAGTTCTGGATGTTTGTACACTTCTGGACTTTTGTCTTATGCCAGAACTTGAATTTAGCATGCACATCCATTTAACAGATCTGGCTTATATGTATGCAGATTGGTGGTTCCTCGCCCCTAATCAGCCACCTTTTAGGAGGACAGTGGCTCAGTTCTTGTTTTCCCCCAGCATGGGGTCCAAGAACCCACACAAGGGTTATTCTAATTTTATTTCATCATCATTATTCCATGCTTTGATAAAAACGGGTTTTCATAAAGGTGGATGTATGCTGTGCAAAAATTATGTCGTAAGGTTTGGGTTGTTAAATGCATTTAATTTAGCTGATATATTACACTTTCTATACACTTACATGATGGATGGTCCGTGTTAAGTACACTGGAGATATAATACAGTATGTCAATGATATGCTCAAATTCATATTGGTAAAGTGAAGTGTAAAAGCAACTTCACTTGATGTCATGACTCTCATAGACAAATAAGTACTTTTAGAAGAAAAAAACATCTCTCGCTGCTGAAGCCTGTATCGCTATGGTAAATGCACTAGATAAAAAAAATTACATTGCTTAAAAGCCCTGGTTCTCACAGCCAAAAGATATTTTTATTAAGAAAGAAAAAAATTAAACAAAATTTCCCAGTGAAACCACAACTAAAATGTATTTATTTACCAATAATAAATTTTATTTATGAAGTTTTAGCTCTCAAAGACTAGAGGATTCATGGGAAAAAAAACTTGTAATTTATAATGATGCAGGACTTTCGAGACAAAAGTACACCATATCAACCATAATGTAGATATTTAAATCCAGAAATTCATAGAAAAATATACTTATTCTCAAAAACAGTGCACATATTTTTAACATCATCCAAGCCTTGTTGAATGTTCTTTTTTCGTGTAAGTCTTCTTATTTTTCAACATAATTTAATTTCAAGAGATTTAATAATACAATGGCTGAAATCATATTTATCACGCAGAAAGATAATAGGGCCAATTATAGAGATCTCTTCCTAACCTGATGCTCGAGGCATTCCAGGGGTAGAGAAAAGAAGAAGAAGAAGAAGAAGAAGAAGAAGAAAGATACTATTTACCAAAGCTTTGATAAAGGTAGAAAGGCTCTCATTATGGACCAGGGTAGTTATTGCCAATAATAAAGTAGGGTGTCTATGTCTTAAACATCCCCCCCCCCCTCCGATTGTGCAAACAATAGAAAGACTGACCTGTGCTGACTGCTACAACCCATTTTAAAGATAAGCTTTGGATTTGTTTAAATACACAACTAATTAAAAAAAAATTAAACAGTCTGCTCTGAATTATGATGGGGAAAAAGCTGGGATATGGGAACTGCTCACTCCCTACTAATAACTGAATGAATCAAGAAGGGGTACTACTGAGCTCAGGAGATTCCCATATGAGCTCCATCTCCTTTCTCAGTAGCCAACGAATAATTCCTATTCTGATGGTGCCAGCTGTAACCTGATTAAATGTCAGCCTGTGCTCCCCCCTCCCCTATACAAGCAGAAAACTGTCCAAACCCCCAGCTGAACCACTCTCGTCAGATATGGACGCACTGTCTGTTCTGTTGCATTGTTTACTTAATCCCAATAAACCTTCACCACATACACTTTATCATAAAGTAGCTTACCACACAAAGTGGCGACAGCAGCTAATTTATCAGCCTGCTTATTACCACACACACTAATGAAGACACCTTATTCTCAAGGGAGTTGACAGTATTCGACAACACTATGACATATTCTGCTACAGGAACTCTTCTGTAGTTAACAATGTCTATGACCACTTGCACTCGACTGGATGTAATAACGTGATGTGTTCAGCTCCTTTCAAAGGCACTCTGTGATGGGTGTAGTAGTCTATCATCTCTGGGATTGTGTTAAATTCCTTGCTGTTTTTGCCCAAAATGTAACAGATGCTTCCATCTTCATTTGTTTTCTGATCAATCTGGACATGGATATACTGTCTGACGCTCCTGCAGAGATAAGGAATGGGGTCACAAACAATTAGATAACACATAGATGCTTTAAAATGTTATGTAACAATTAACAGATAAAAAACTTTTCACGCCACGGGCACATCAGGTATACAGTGTGGTTTTACTAGGCAATTTTACATTCAGAAGTTTCCCGTGTGGGTTCCAGGGTCCCACTGTGGGGAAAACAAGAATAGACCAACTGCCTCCCCAGCAAGCATGTCATAAGAGTCAACTGGGTGAAGATGTGGGGGAAGGAGGAAGGGGGGGGCTTTCTTTAAAGTCGAAATGCATCTGTCTGAGAGGCAAATAAACAACAGTCTCCATACAAATAGGAAAAATCTGTAAAATGGATGCATACGCAAAGCTTAGGTCCTGGATCAAAGCTAAAATTCAGAAATGGATGAACAACCAGGTTTTTCCGCCGCAATTTACAGGCGGTGAACACAAACAACAACAACATTCAGAAGTCTACCACTGCTTTCTGAATGGTGCTCCATATCATTTTTGAAATCAACATAAAACAGCTGGAATAGAACCGGGCATCTCAAAATTACAAATCACGTCTGTAACCCTCTAAGCCAAAGTCACCATCCAAAAAACTATACTGGCACAAAAAAACCATCCTATGCTTGCTCCGGAACTAATTTCTTGCTAAGTAAGTGCACTAACCACTATATCTCATAATAAGACAAGGTACTGACAGACAGCACAGACGTATTTCTCTTCCCAGATGCAAGTAAATATAGCAGACTTCCTGTCATTGTTGACAAATATTCTACACTTCACATCATTATCTTTTTTTCCAAAGCGATATTCTATTACACTTGGGCCCAATTTGCAGAAATCTAATAACACATATTTCCATGCACTGGAATCTACAAAAGAAAAAAAACACAAACAATTAGAAGAGAATCAAAAACTGAAGTCAGTAAGAATGGGGAAGTTTTGAGGGCAAGCAGCATATATATATATATTGGGGGATAATGAGCAGTAGAATAAAAAATATTTGGGTACATAGAGCCGCTTATAGTCAATCAGCAACCAGGCATAATTACAGGTGATGTGTTAGGCCTTCACATATTCTAGGTACAATATGTAAGGCTGAGTTTCTCATCAACTTTACTTTCGTGACCTTTCTGAAAAATTGTACTAATTTTGTATGAGTCTGGATTGATTCCACAGCTAAAACAGTCACACACACACAAATTAATTAGATTCTACTGGGGTTTGGACCCTGATCTCCCTGTGTGGGTTCCTGGACCTCATAGTGAGGGGGACGAAGGGGGAAAGAATAGGCTTACTGATCTCCTAAAAATAATGTAGTAAAAGTCAACAAATTAAAGTGTTTCCTTCAAAGTTAGAGTGTATCTGGGAGTTCAGTTACCAACAGTCTGTATACAAATAAGCCAGATCTGTTAAATGGATGTGCACGCAAAACTCTTCTGGAACAAGACTAAATACCAGAATTTGATGAAAAAACCAGAACTTGTCTCTGGATTTGACAGCCGTGAACACAAAGAAGTAGAAGAAGACCCCACGGTCAAACTGGTCGGGGAAAGAAATTAGATTCTACTGGGAACAGAACCTTTATCATTGTTAGGTAAGGTTACTTACCATTACGAGCTGGTGGGTGCTAACATATGGATAATAACTGTGAATAATCACGATGAGTGACTTACTTAATGGACAGCGAATATGATCGTCTGTCTGAACTAATGCGAACGATGTAACTTCCTTCTTTACACACACAAAGCATCTTCTCGGAATCTTCTCTGCTGATATTACCATGGTACCAGCTGAAAAAAATCAAAAAGATTATTCTAATAAAACTTATCTGTGCATTATCAAATTTTAACAAAATTGTAATGATAACAATTACAAATCGCCTCTTCATTGTACTGAACAAATTATTTATGCTTTATCAAATTCTAACATTATAATTATAACAATTGTAATATTCTATTTTCTTCAATGTACAGTCACAGTCCATGCTGTATTGCGTTGGATGTCTTGCATCCTCAACTGCCTGTCATCTATCTCACTGTTAACAGTTGCTATAATCGTCTGCCATAATTGTCTATGTCATGACCTTGTTACCCTTCTCAATCCACTGAGAAAACACAGGAATCAATCAAAGGCACAAACAAAAAGACCCAAAAATCCCTGAGAAAACCCCCCACCCCCCCCCCCCCCCCCCCCCCCCCAAAAGAATTTATGAGAGAGGTTAAATGAGAGGTTGAACTATATTCCATCCATGAAACTGAAATGATTGATTGCACAGGATACAATGCAAGACTAGACTTTGAGCCCTATGTGACCTAAAACAGTAAAATAAGATGATGAAATATGGTTGATTCTGGTGTTCTAACCCTCAACGAGCTATCAGAGTGCAGAAAGAAAGTAGAGTAACAATGTGACTTATCATGCATGCCATAAAAGGCAATAAAGGAGTGTTGATGTGAGACTGGTTAATTCATCCCATAGCAGCAAAATCAAACTAATCATGAACGAGTCTAAAATAGCTTGGTCTGAGTTAGCTGAGTGCCTATGCTCCATTGGGATGCAGAAGTCTGAAAAGGTAAAGAAGAGGAAGAAAAAACCTTTGATAGTCTGCTCCTTTGGTAAACCTCCTTAACTTAAAGTTATTTGCAGTAAAATATTTATACTGTCTTTCAATTTTATTCTCTTTCAATGTGCAATAAGCAGTTACAGGTGACCACTTTTTTTTTTTACTTGTTTAATTAATCTGAGATTAACTTTTTTGCCTGTGGAATGTATCTAAGTGAGTTTTCAGCAACTTACTTTTGGCAAGCAAGAGGTATCATAGGATTAATGCGCTGTCCAATATTACATCCATGGCCTCTAGATTTGGCTGATGTTTCACCATGGTTGTGATGCTCTGGTGAGGCAATGGAACATGCATTTATATAACAATAATGTTAAAACATGTAACAACATTGCTTGACAAACTGAAACAGCAGACCTTTACTTCTGTTCAGAGTGGAGCAGATGTTGGGTTTTTCAAGACAAAGATACAATGATTAAATTAAGTTGTAATTTACTTTCAATATACAAAGTGTATGAAGTGTAATAGCAATGGAAACTGTTTGACAGAAATTAAAAGGAGGATGGCCATTGCAATGCAAAGATTAAACATCCTAAAAAGTCTATGGTTAAGCACCAGCAAGAAGATCAAAATTAGAATTTTGAGAGCACGCATCTTCCCTGTAGCAACAAATGGATGTGAGTCGTGGACTGATTGACTGACTGACTTTCTACCCCACCTAGACATCACACAAGCGATAAACACCTGATGACACAATGTGGGAGAGCGGGAGAGCTGGCGAGAGACATGGGTTTCTTTCAGGCAGACCGTGATAAGAGCGATGTTCTGCAAAGGACCTGCTACATGATGATGACACTTAAGTGTTGAAATCCAGCTGTAATTTCAAGATAACAAGATGGTGTTGAAATCTGACTGCAAAATATTTTCAAGACAAACACACAGTATTGAAATCCGTTGAAAATATACTTTTAAGACAAAAAGAAACAGCATTAGACGACAACCAATTTACTTCCAGATTAAATGAAGAGATTTCCTCTATTATTTATCATGCCAGATAGTGTAAGTGTTTATTTTCACAGAACAGGCCTGTCTGTTCTAGATCAATTTTATTGATTTTTCTCCATGTCACCGTCTCAGATTATCCATCAGTTTTTCTCTGCCTCTTCTATTGTTGACCATTCCATTCATCACAATATTCCAAATGCCACTCTTCCCATCACACAACTATTAGAATCTTGTTTCTTTTCTTCAAAGTAAGGAGAGGAGAAAAAACACATTAAAAACAGAGAATAACATACCTTACTTAAATAAAGCTGAATAATCTGAAATTCAAAAATGTTTTGTATGAAAATAACATTCAAATAAAGATCTTTAAAAACTTTTACAGCCCCCCCCCCCCCCCCAAGTGGGTTCCGGGGCCCTATTGTAGGGAAAACAAGAATAGACCCACTGCCTCCCCAAAAAGCATGTCGTAAGAGTCGACTAACTGGGAGTTTCCTTTGAAGTCAGAGTGCATTTACCTGAGAGGCAAAGAACCAGTAATCTGCATACAAAAAAGTCAGATCTGTAAAACAGATGCATATGCACAACTGAGGTCCTAGAACAAAGCTAAAGTCTAGAAATAGACGAACAACCAGGTCTTTCCACCAGAGTTTACAGTTGGTGAACGCAAACAACAAATTACAGCACACATCAAAATGTGTCTTCAACATACTTCTTGTAGATGGAGCCACTGATTCACTCTCTTCTCGAGGAGGTTCTTGTGTGTCAGATCTTGGCTTCACAATTTTGTCAGCCTCACTGTTTCCCACTGGCACGGAGCTACTGACACAATGCTTAGCTTTAAGCTGCTTCTGCTGCTTGCTTGAATCCCATGGCTCCTCGTAAATTGCTGAAGCCTGGAGTTGCATCTCCCTTTAAGATTCAAAGTGAACATGAGCATAGGGTTAAAAACAGATTGAATTCTTCAGAGATCTTCAACAATATTCAATATCTGATAAGAATCAGACAATAATGCATGCAATAAACAGTAATCTTCTTCTTCGCATTCACCAGCTGTACACTCTTTTGGAAAGTTCTGGTTGATCGTCCACTACTGAACTGCAGTCCTGTTCCAGAATATGGTAGTCTGGTAGTCTGGTAGTCTTAGTTTCAGCTTCATAGCAAACGGGTCGCCCCATCTTTGCTCTGCTCCTGTGCCAGCGAAAAACACCCAGAATGTTTATCACAGTCCCTTGTGGAAAGATTGACAGACTGCTTTCTCAGCATATCTAGCATACACTCGCATTAAAGCATATGGTAGCCATCCGAAGTGCTAACACAAACAGTCCAACATTAGAAATGCAGTTCATCATTGATGATAGCAGAACTTGTCGCCAACAGATCAGCAGTTTCCCACGCGATCAATTGTAATCACACACGGGCACCGCCAACATTGACGACCGGCATCGCGCCATTTTCTGAATCTACAATTCACACCACGTTGGTCACAGTCGAAAAAACATTCCAAATGCAATCCGCAGCTCACAGGGTCACGCCATGCATTCAACTCAGAAGCTGGGCGACGAAACTATATCCAGTCTACAAATGGAGCAAAAATACTTCGGCCACCGTCCGGCAGAAGCAAAAAATTTGCCTCCGCTCCGACACAGCGCCGCTGTCTAGCGTCCATTTTATATGATTGTTGCATGTGCATCAGTTTTACAGATCTCATTCTCTTGAATACAGACTGTTGGTTCCTTGCCTCTCCGGCAGATGCACTCCGACTTCAAAGGAAGCTCCCCAATTAGTCGACTCTTACGACATGCTTTTGACGGCTGTTATGGGACAATGGATTGATTAATTTTTTAAATTTTTAATCCTCTAAAATTGGGCATCTGAACCCGCAAGGAAAGTTCCCTTTTTCCTCTCAATTTACTAATCAAAAAATAATTGTTAAAATATTTTAGCGGTGAGATCATCAGCTTACTTTAAAGAATTTATTCGATATTTTGATGTTATTTGAATCCCATCTGCTTTTCTGAATACATCTTGCTTATTAATTGTCTTTACTTTCTTTCTTTACTTGCCCCCTTCAGGGCAGTATGAGGTGGAGAAGTGGGCCTGAGGATTACAGGCCACATGGCTAGTGGAATCGCCATGAACTGTGCGGGCAAATTTTTTTTTGCGCAGCGAGAAAAAAAAAAAAAAAAAAAAATCACCACTCACCAAGGATCAAACCCGGGTCTCCAACATAACAGCCTAGCATCCTAACCACCCAGCCATCTGCTCCTTTCAGGGTGGATTCAATCTAGGAAACCATGTCAATTTCAGAAATCTGCTTTGATATAGATTTAAATCTTGAACTTTGGGCCAGCATGTAAATGTCTTGTCATTTTCTACCAAGAGTCACATTTATATCAGCTTCCTATAAATAATCAAGAGTAGTGCCCCATGCAAGCCACAAGGAAAAGGATTTTTAAAAAAGCAAGACCTGAGAGTGTTCTTTACAAGTGATAGCCATCTGCATTTTTAAATGACCCAACAATTAGAAATTCACCTAAATTATACTTTGCTGTAAAACAAGTATAAGTATACATTACCTTATTTTCATTTCAAGGAGGCTATTTTTAAGATCCCAGGCATCTTCATAAGTATTTTGGGGTAGTGGCTTCAATTTCCCAGAAGTATTTTTATCTGGATCTGTACTCTCAACGGATACTACTTCTGACTGAAAAGTAAACAAAAATTATTATTCCAGTTTTTTCTTCAGTAAAATTTAGTCAATTTTGACGAGATTATAAAAGCTGCAGTTGCAAATGAAAATATAAATAAATTAAAAAAAAAGCTTTTATTGTCATAAAGATCTGTGTTGTGCTGTTTACATGTTTTCAGAGATACAATTGTACCCATGCTATGAGACGAATATGAGTCGAGCAGGGATTACTTTTCAAACAACCCATCCCCTGTGGAGAGGTCAGCCTGAGAAATTTAGGCCGCATGGCTTGGGCACAACTGTGGTGAAAAAAACAGTCCCACTGAGAGCTTCCTCTGAAGTGGGAGTGCATCTGCCTGAGAGGCAAGAAACCAACAATCTGCATACAAGTAAGCCAGATCTGTAAAATGGAATTGCAAGTAACACTAATATTCTGGAGCAAGAGGCAGACGAAAAACTAGAACTTTCTGCCAGAGTTACAGCTAGTGTGCGTGAAGAAGAAGAAGAAGAAGAATACGATGAAGAAGAAGAAGCAGAAGAAACAACCAATTCAAATAGTTTTGGATGTCTAAAATCTGATAATCTCAGTAAATTTATGCATATATATATAAAATTCTAAATTCATTTAGGCATACATAATACTGAGAAAAGAATTGTTACAAAATCTTGCAAACCCAAGTTTATGTACCACCCCGGTCCATTCTCTTGTATGCTGTTAAAAAAAACAAAAACGCATACTTACTGAAAGGAACATACATACTCACAATTTTGACATTCTGCATCTTTGTAATGCAATAAGTGAAATTACTTTCACATAAGAATACCTTAGGGATCCACCAACCCTTTTTTTTTTTTTGGGCAGCTTGTGTTTATGATCCATTTTTTTTTAAAATCATTCGGGGAGCAAAAGAATTTAGCATCTTTGATAAAGCTCAGATGCAAGTGACTTCCAGGACTATGAACTCAGCCTGGAGAAAATGATGGCCACATCGTAACACACACACACAAAAAACCTTTAAGACAGAGTCTGTTGCTATTTTCATTTTTGTCTCTGGGCAAAAGCACAGGATGGGAAGTTAATGGAGGATTACACAAATGAGCGTATCAAAGAACTGGGACACCTTCACAAGCAGACGAATCTTTTTCATCAACTTTTATTTAAGATGACTCTTTTGTGCCAAGTAAAGAGAGATTTTCTTTGATAACTGATCTATTTATTAAGCTAATTTTTTTTTAGGTCATAAGATTGCATTCATTTTTGCTGTTTTTGTACACAAAACTGAATGTATGAAGTAGTTATAAAGGTTAAAATATGACCAACAATCATCTGATTTAAGAAATTAATTAAACAACTTAACAACAACTCTAACAGGAAAAATGGTTTCCATTTCTCAACGACTTCAAAGGCTAAATTAAGACTGAGAACCAAAGTTCCACTGTGGAGACGTTAACAACATAAAATACGGAACATCAGGGCTCATACCTTTTGATCTGAAAAGCTATCTAAGGCGTCATGGAAGACTTCAGCTTCGGAAGTTTGAGACAGACTTCGAGCATAGTTCTTTTCTTCTGGCTTCAGTGGCTGAGCAGCACTCTCCCAAGCATGCTCATATGTTCCAGTTTTCGGAATACCAGGCAGTTTGTCAGTTCTCTTTGCTAACCTTTTCGCTGCCTTCTTTTCTTGTTCTAGTTTCAATCTCTTCATTTTCAAATCCCATGGTTCTTCATAAGCAACTTCATTGTCTATAGAAGGTGCCTGGGCTTTGCTGATACTTGCTGAGTGTGTGTACTGGGACTGCTGAGGTGCCACAAATGCTGAAGTTATAGAACTTGGAGAGGTATGTGGTGATGGTTGGACCTGTTTGCTCGGGTTAACACCAGATTTAATAGGTCCTTGCTCATGGTTTGACTTTACTGAAGATGGATCACCAGCCTTACTGAGGCGGATTTCTGAGGCTACTTCATACTCTATCTCTACCACCTTCTTTCCAGGTCTCTTCTTTTTCACCTGAACCTCAGCGCTCAAGTCAGGAGACATAACAGCACTGTTGTCTTTAATCAGTTCTGTAGAGCAAGCTTCTGTTGAACCATTTGCCCGCAGCGGTGCTGAATTCTGTTGCTGCAGCTGTGTGTGTCTGGCAGATCGTGGTTTGGGAGATGGTTTCCTGTGTGGGGTCGCACCGTACTCTTCTGCAGGCTGCTGTGCTAGTTGATAAAGTTCATCATCATCGCTTTGATTTGCTCTTATTTTTGTTTGTTTTACTTTCTGAACATCTATGGCATCTGAAATTGTGTTATTACAAAGAGAATCAATTTAGGTTGGCAAAGAGAATACTAAAAGAACTATATTACATCATAATTTTTTTTCTCATTTGCCAACAAAAATAGCTAAAAAATTTATTTGAATAAGATATTTAAAAATTATTTTAACATGGAGAAATAAGAGTTTCAAGCAAACTTTTTCAGGAATATATATAATGTAAAACAACTGATGCTACAGGTCACTTAGGTGGATGCACTGTCTAGGCAAGTAATAATAAAAATGTATAATAAAAGTGGGTACATATCATGAACCTGCTCCCATATCGCTGGCGCACGAAATTTCCTGAGATTTTCTGAGAGCTCCCATTCATGCCAATGGCCGTTTCCACAGGCTGCTCTATGTTGTAGGGGTGTTAGCATAGGCAGTTTTTTTATTGTTTTGCCGTATACAAACACATTGCAGAAAATTGTTCCAGGCCCGAGACGATGAGAGTGTGCAAGATCTGTTCCGATAGCCGGTGACAGTGAACGACGGGTGGTTTTTTTTTCTTGTTTGTTTCTGTATGCGGCTAAGTGTTGAACTAAGTTTTTGTTTCTCTGTGAACGACGTCTCTTGTGCAACCGTGGCTGGTCTCAGAATTGGTGACATGTCCGGGCAGGCACTGAAAAGGGCCGTCTGGGTGTGGAGGCCTTATAGAAATACAACACTACTGTGTCGCTCACCAATGCTGATAGTTGAAGGAAATTAATGGCAAAGGTCAAGTCGTCAACTGATGCCTCAGTGATAGCGATGAAGAGCAAACGCACAACACAAGTAACAGGCACAGTGACGACAGCGGACACTGTGGAAAATAGAACGTGTTGGCCGCTCACATTGAAAATAAAAGCGGACACCCCCACAACATACCTTAGCCTGTGGAATCTCCCGGCTGGCAATATGTGGGCAACTTCATGATATATATATCTAAACATTAACTAGCAGACTGCCTTTCACTCTCTCTTTCTCTCTCAAAAATCATAAAGACAAACCCTGAGGCTGTGCATATCTTTTCTCAGGATCAGAACTGTAGCCATCACTTTCTTTTAAGGCACCACCATGAAAAGTCTGACTGTCAATGGGTTCACAGTATTCAGCAAGTAATGCCTGAAATTTAAAAAAAAAGTAATCATTTAGTTCATATATATTTGTTTTCCAATGTTCCCCTGCATTTCTCCATTAAAACATAACTTGTTTTACTTTCACCCTGACTGCATACACACACACAAACAAGTTAAATGGCAGCAGACCATGAGACAGACCAAGAAGAGAACGGAAAGATAATATTCATGCAAACCTACAAACATCTGGAGTAACCAACTGGATAAGAGATAAGTGATATCTGCAGCGATGAATCTCAAGGACTCACAGTTGTCGCATGCAAGTCGCACACTAAAATGAACCAATAATGAATAGTGCAAATAGGACATCAGAAGTTGTTACATATTGTTGTTAGGAGAGGAAGGAACTCTCGCCATGCAGGCGAGTTCGTGATAAGTACCAAAGAATGATACATTAATAGCTCCATTCAACACATGCAGATCAAAAAGAAAGTGGAGAGATAATACAGTCTGGCAATTAAACAATAAGACAGATCTTATTACGGCCTAGACAAAATGCCAACCATGAAGCCTTTTTTTTATCTAGGTCATAATAAAATCAGTCTTATTATTCTATAGTCAGTCTGGGTATATAGGAAGACATAAAAACAGCTGGTAACGCCAAATGGAAGAGAAGGCCAATTACAGAACTGAATGGAGATGGATGATATCTGCAAGGTTAGGAATCCTGAAAAAGAAGAAAATGACACTACAGACTTTGTTTAAGTATTCATAGCCTAACATTTGTATACACTAACTGGCACTAAGTGTATGATGTAGCCAACACACTTAATCACTTTAACTTATCACATTTCCTGGTATATATTTTTACACAGGGTCACATGGGAGCTTAGATCAATTTCAAATATATGACTTCAACAAGATCCAAACACATGATTACTGGGTCCGCAGGCTAACATGCAAGCAACTCAGTGCTCTTAAAGTAATGTTCAATTCTTTTGCTGTCCACCTAAATTAAAAATAGCAAACTGAAAATTTATGACAGGAGCAATGACATGTGGAAAAAACTGTTAGCAATTACCAATGAAGTAAAGTTAATTTAACAGTTTCTAAATGACCCCTTTAACAATTTCATAAAGTGACAAGAAATTTTAAACTTTTTGATGACTGAAATTATATAAATAGGTAATTCAGGTGAAAATTAACACTACTTACTGTTTTTCCTTGATGTTTACTCGCAGGAACAGCTCTGGAATAGTTATCAAGTTTGTATTTTTGCAGAAATTCCTTCTTTATCTCATTATTCATCTTCGCATGTTGAGTGAAGCATTCCTTCTCTTACCTCATTTGTTATTAAAACTGATAAACCAAGCAGTTCGTATCTGAAATGATCAAACAATGATTTTAATTGTTCATCTTTTATTTAGTTCCTTAAACGCTCATTTAGTCTTGGAGTTTCCCACCTGCGCCATATTCCGAATGTTCAGATCCATTTGTTTAACATGGTCATAACTTTTAAACCTTTTCCACTAAAAAAAATTTAAAACAGCATGTGCTGTCTCCATAATGAAAGCTGGCTACAGTGTACCTACTAATGCGGTCAAGAACATTACGTGATGAAAACAAAATAAACTATAAGCCTGACTGAAACCTTTTTAACTGTGGTTTATTCTAAATGACCTTCCTCCTTTAGCTTGTGCACACTACTTCCCTCATTTCTAGTAGTGCTACTGCATATTAAGTTCCTTGTTTACATTGGTGGTGGTATCTATTTAACTATAATCATGATCCAGCCTACAACTGCAGAGTTTTGCAGGATTCTATCCCCATTCTGAAATGCCTCGCGGCGACAGGGTAAAAAAGACATTTTTTATTTCTCCATGAGCCAAAAATTGATTTTCTTTTATCTTTTAGTAACACTGGATTAATTATTTCTCCTTCAACATTAAACCATTTGTCTTTGGCTTATTTTCTCAAACCAACTGTTGCCCATGCATGTGCCTGTTCTTGTTTACACAACCCAACTTTTGCCATGAATGTGCTGGCTGTTTTGGTTTTCTCAACCCATCTGTTGCTCATGTATGTGATTGTTGTTCTTGTTTCTTTAACCCATTTACCAAGTACGTGCTTGTTGTTCTTGTTTCCTCAACCCAACTATTGTCCATGTATGTGCTTGTTGTTCTTGTTTCCTCAAACCTACTGTTGCCCATGTATGTGCTTGTTGTTCTTGCTTCCTTAAACCAACTGTTGCCCATATATGTGCTTGCTGTTCTTGTTTCTTCAACCCAACTATTGCCCATGTATGTGCTTGTTGTTCTTGTTTCTTCAAACCAACTATTGCCCATGTATGTGCTTGTTGTTCTTGTTTCTTCAACCCAACTATTGCCCATGTATGTGCTTGCTGTTCTTGTTTCTTCAAACCAACTATTGCCCATATATGTGCTTGTTGTTCTTGTTTCCTCAAACCAACTATTGCCCATGTATGTGCTTGCTGTTCTTGTTTCTTCAACCCAACTATTGCCCATGTATGTGCTTGTTGTTCTTGTTTCCTCAAACCAACTATTGCCCATGTATGTGCTTGCTGTTCTTGTTTCCTCAAACCAACTATTGCCCATGTATGTGCTTGTTGTTCTTGTTTCCTCAAACCAACTATTGCCCATGTATGTGCTTGTTGTTCTTGTTTCTTCAACCCAACTATTGCCCATGTATGTGCTTGTTGTTCTTGTTTCCTCAAACCAACTATTGCCCATATATGTGCTTGTTGTTCTTGTTTCTTCAACCCAACTATTGCCCATGTATGTGCTTGTTGTTCTTGTTTCCTCAACCCAACTATTGCCCATGTATGTGCTTGTTGTTCTTGTTTCCTCAAACCAACTGTTGCCCATGTATGTGCTTACTGTTTGTTTCACAGACAGTACCATCTTTTTTATCCTACAACTGTTACAACAAATAGTTGTAAAGAAATTTCTCCACCTTTCTTGAATTCATCCTATTGCATTTTCATCCATTTCTTGAAGCAATGTTTTTTTTTAAATGCATCTAATTTGCACTGCAGATCTTTAGTGGCTTTCCAACTTTCAATGGCATGTGAAAAATATATGTAAATTGGTTTCAAGCTTTTTTCTTCTTCTTTGCATTCACCGGTTGTAAACTCTGGTAAAAAGTTGTGGTTGTTCGTCACTTCCAGAATTTGACCTTGTTTCAGAACCTGAGACATTTTACAGACCTGTCTTAATTGTATGCAGAAAACTGGTACCATACTTTTCAGGCAGATGCACTCCGACTCTAAAGAAAATGTCCATAATTAGCTGCCTTGTACAACATGACTGTTACGGGAGCAGTGAGTCTGTTCTTTGTTCCCCCAAAATGAGGGTATGAAAGCCACATAGGGAGTTCAAACTTTTTCAAAAACGGTTTTCTTTGCGAATGTCCTTTTTCCACGATTTTGGGTGTATTGGGCATATAGGGCTAGACCTATTTTTTATAGACCAGTCTGCACTTAGTGGGTGATGTGGTCAGCATCACGCCGGCCGGCTTTACTTTCCAAGACTGCACCTGGTACCCACTCAAGGCTGGGTCGACCTGAGAGTCAAAGGTCATTTCTGAAAAAAGTCAGACTGTGTCAGGACTCGAACCCACAACCGTTCAATTTGCAGACAGGCATCTAGCCGCAGTCGCCATGGCGACTCCCCTTGTGAAAATGTATTATAACTTTTTTGTTTCCCTGACAATAAAATTACTACCTAAAGAGTATGTAAACTCTAATATGGGCACAATATTTTGTTATTTTAAAGTCCCATCCTGGCTGTTGTTGGGGGCCTTAAATACAACCTACGGGTTAAAAAGCGTTCTGGGACTTGCACCCAGGCGATTCTCATCCGAAACAGTGACAATTTGCATCAGTGGGTGTTTTATTGCTTGTCATGCGGTTTTGGTGGGGTTGAACATCAGTCAGTCAAATGGCTATCTAAGTAAACTAATCTGTTAATTTAATTTTGTGTGTGTGTCTCAAGTGTGATATCTGCTTGAAGAAAAATAATCCAGGCAATAATTTTAGTGTAACTGATAACTGGAGAACACATTATGCTTTTTTTGTTGTTGTTGCACAATACTGTGCCCAAATGTAACCAAAATACATGTCATGGCTAGAAATGATGAGTAATGTTAATAAAGTTAAAATAATGACACATCCTACATTGCAGCTTGCTTGGGAGTAAATGAGTTACTCATGTCATAACTTTATTAATGGGTTTCATTCTGCATTTTGTTAATCTGTAAAATACTCAAATTGTTACTCAGTTACTTACTCAGGCATTTGAACTAGAATTTCATTAACTAAAAGTAAAAGTACTAAAATTGACTGAATGTATACTTACTACTTTTAGTGTGTGTGGGGGGAGGGGGGGGGGAGGAACTGACTGAATTGTCTTTTTTACAGTGACGTGACGGATAGGGACCTGGCTTGTAACAGTGTAATACTTAAATACTATGTTATATACGAAAAAAAAATCAGAAGCAGATCGTTTTCATTTACAAAACCTGTAATTTTACTAGTGTATTGGTATTTTATAATATATCGGCCTTAGTAGTTCCTGCAATCAATGGACAATGGTCAAGAAACAGGTCTGCTACGCTACGTATTTTGAAAAACCGTGGCGTAAAAGACAACTGACAATAAAGAAAACATTCAACAAATATTTGTATAAATACTGAATTAATTTACTTAAAATTATATAATCAAATAATTCAAGTCAGGTCCATCCTCACAAACGAAGCAGTTTGTATGCGAACACCGACTCTATTGGTAAACGTCTTCCGTTTGGGAAAGCCTGCATCCTGATTGGAATTGGAACCTTCTCTTGTTTCTGGAAATCACAATAATGAAGAGAACAATTGCATCCGGTGGTGATGTAATTTCCTCACCTAAAGGTAAATTCCGGTCACTAATATCGCAGTAAAACTAAAACCCTGGCTGTCACACATTCTAAAACAGAAAATAATATTAAAAAAAAAAAAAAAAATTAAAACCTTGTGTTAAAAAAAAGTGTACTCACAATCGGGGACTCAAATTAATACATCCCTTCTGGGGCCAAAATTGTGTTCATGGTAACCGAGTGTTCTAGTCTAAGCGAGTTCATGTTAACGAGATTTTACTGTATTTTACTTCCTTGTGTGGTTCTGGTCTCCAGTTTAAAAAATAAAAAGGGTTAAAAGAAGGGGGGGGGGGCGAGGGTGTGATAAGCCGAGTGTCCATAGATAAGCTTGATATTAAAGGGGTTTGCTGCCTAGCAATAGGGTTTCGGTGCTTAGCTGTAAACCACATCACAACGTGTCAACCACCCTTTTAGGGATACGTTATAAGTAGATAGAATATTATTACTGAATATGAAGGCTGTTCGGAAGTGAATTACGAAACAGTCATGTGAGTTTTGAAATATCATGTGAAGCTGCAAAGATACGAAAGCACAGTTGATATTGATAAAGTAAAGTTAAAGTAAGTAAAGTTCCCTTTTCACGCCTTTTCGGCGCATCGGGCATATGGGCAGAGCGTCCCATATTTTTACAGACCATCAGCACTCTGTGGGTAATGTGGTCTTTACTTTCCCAGGACAGCCCATCCTGGTACCCATTTTAGGCTGGGTCGACCTGCGACGTCCCATACCACGACAAAAATCCACGCAGCCTGATATTAATAAGTGTCTTGGGAAAAAAAATATATTAACCCACAAAGCGAACTGATTACCCGCATCATAAGGAGACTTTCTGTTTGAGCGTGTGAAGAAAAAAAAAGGAGGGGGGGGGGTGAAGAAGGTAGTGACAATAGAAGTTGTAAAGGGGAACGAAGAAGCGAAGGAAGATGATGGAAAGTTTACTGTCTTGGTATGGAATGTGTGTCAGATGCGACTGCCCCCGTGTGGGTTCCGGGGCCCCATTGTGGGGGAAAACAAGAATAGACCCACTGCCTTCCCAAAGGCATGTCGTAAGAGTCGACTAATTGGGGAGTTTCCTTTGAAGTCGGAGTGCATCTGCCGGAGAGGCAAGGAACCAACGGTCGGTATTCGAGAGAATGAGATCTGTAAAACTGATGCACACGCAACACTCAGGGTCTGGAGCAGGACTGCAGTTCAGTAGTGGACGAGCAACCAGAACTTTCCGCCAGTGTACAGCTGGTGAACGCGAAGAAGAAGAAGAAGAAGATGCGATTGAAGGTACACATGACCGGAGCATGTGAGCAGATATGATAACCAACGCCCAGGACTTCTTCTTCCATAACAAAGAAAGATGCCAGTACTCACCACAAAATTTCA